GAAGGAAGGAAGGAAGGAAGGAAGGAAGGAAGGAAGGAAGGAAGGAAGGAAGTAAGTTAGGCAGGTTAAAATAGCTAACTGAAAAAGTGGCCATAAAGTCATGACATAGCCAAATCATGAAGTCATGAGAGTTTAGCCCTTTTTTTAATAAAAAAAAAAAAGACAGGAAGATGACTATGATGTGAAAAGGTTGCTGAGTGCAGACTTAAGGAGGATCAGATGCCAGAATATTTCTTTGGTCTGTTACAACTTTTAGAGTTCCCATAAGGGACAGAAAACATAGTAAAATTCAATCCAGTCACAGTCTCATGATTGGCACACTGCCCCTACTCTCCTTGGGGTTTTAAAACATCCATTGGGAGATTACAACAGACATCTCAGCTGGAATCTGATCTAAGATGAGTCATGGCAGAATTGTACATGACAATCCAGCCTCTTTTTTTGGAGGGCAAAAAGGAGAAGGAGAAATAATATTGGGTGGGAACAGAGATCCAAGCTGATGTACCCATCGGTGAGGTTAGGCCCCTGATTGTTTCACTGATTTGTTGTGATGATTAAATTGGAAATTGATAGACCATACTATATGCTCTCAATTCCTTGGGGTTAAATTAAAATAAAATCAATGTATGAATAAAAAGCAAGAACAAAGAGAAAAGCTGGAAGAGAGAAAGAAAAGAGTCAATGCTATAAAGGATAAAGGAGCAGACATTAAATGTTTTAAAAATAGGCATTGTGAGGCAAGTTGAAGCTAAAAAGAACATGGTTTTCCAAGTGCAGTCTCTAAAAAAAACTATCAGAAAGTCCTCAATAAGATCAGTAATGGCAGACCAACTTATTTGAAAAACATCTATTCTTTTTCCCTCTTCCCCTAAAGCAATGTTTCTCAACCTTAGCAACTTTAAGATATGGGGACTTCAACTCCAAGAATTCCCCAGCCAGCCAGTCTGGGAGTTGAAGTCCCCATATCTTAAAGTTGCTAAGGTTGAGAAACACTGCCATAAAGAGCACAGCTGGGAATAACACTGGGGACATTTTGAGGTCCCACCTCAATTCATGGAGGTGAGGAGGAGATGCAGAACACAGCTCCTCTTGGGATCACCCACATATGTCGGGAGGGGAGAGATTCCTAGGTGGATCATTATAAAACATGGCTTTATCCTGTCCCTCAAAGACTTTGGGACACTTCCTTGATTTAATACAAAATAATAATAATAAAATAAAGTTGGGAGAGATTTCTAGCATTAAGAGACACCTCTGAGATCATCATGTCTCAGCTGAGATGTTTCCACACCCACACACACTGCAGCCGCTCAGGTGTCAATCTAGGCACTCTTACCTTGGATACAGGTTGAGGGGCAGGGCTTTCTGCATAAATTTCTTTTCTTCTACTGGCAATCAGTTTACCATTCTGTAGGACCTTTCCTTCATTCCTTCTTTGAAGTCCCAAATTGGGCTCCTGTAGCTGGTTTGGAGGCAGGAGAACTTGGCTTGTGACTACAACTTGCCCAGTGAACGTTCAGCAGGATTTCCACAGTTGTTACTCATCTTCTGCAGATAAAAGGTCCCTCCCTGAGTTGGCTGCACCTCCTTCATTATTGTAATTATCCTGCAATGCAGGAGGCCACTGCCTCTTTATGAACCAGGACATCTGGCTGCAACTGTTCTCCAAACAAAAGTTTCCCACATTCAACAGTTGCGGCAGGAGTCAAAGAAGGGGCCTTCTGCCACTTGTAAGACAAACACATTTATCATTCTATAAGCTTTCATAGACTAATACTATTAATATTGTTTCATAGACTATTATTGGTTGTGTGCTATAGACAATTGGCACTTATTCATACGTAAATGTACATACGGACAAACGTATATATGGGTTACCAAGGGCAAAAAATATAAAGAGTAGCAGAAGCATCCATGGGGGGGTCAGAAAAGTCAAGACGGTGGCTGTAACTGTGTGATCAAAGTCTCACCCTTTTTTACATGCATTACAGGCAGCCTGAGTGCAAGGTTGCCAGCACATTCTCTTCTTGTGGAATATGCCTCACAACAGGAAGCCGATGCTTTGTGTAGCTTGGAGTACAGGTAGTCCTTGACTTACAACCATTCATTTAATGGCTGTTTGAAGTTATGATGGCACTGAAAAAAGTGATTTACAACCAGTCCTCGCACTTACAACTGTCACAGCATCCCCGTGGTCATGTGATCAAAATTTGAGCGCTTGGAAACTGGCATGTATTTTCGACAGTTGTAGCATCCCAGGGTCATGTGATCACCATTTAAGCAAAGTCAATGGGGGAAGCCGGATTTGCTTAACGACTGTGGCAAGAAAAGTCGTAAAATCAGGCATATGTCACTTAACAACCACATCACTTAGTGATGGAAGTTCCAGTTCCAGTTGTGGTCGTAAGTCAAGGACTACCTGTAATTGTGCTTTTAATAGGTTGCAAAAGAGCTTTCAATCGCCTTAAATGATGGAGGGGTAGAGGAAGCACTATAGCAGGTCATTTACCTTTGTGCCCCAAAGTTTATCCAAGAGAGTGGAGCACTTCTTTCAGCCTGGCATGTTATGTGTGATACATTTCATACAGACCCACACATACCTATAGAGAGAGAGAAGAAGCAATTCACTCCTGCCCGAATGCTGAAATGCAACCTTCTCTTTACCCCCGCGAGGAGACAGCGTGCTCCTTTCAGACTGTTAAGCAGCTCTTTGCTAGACTGGAAAGTGAGCAGAACCGATCATCCTGCATGAGCGTAGAGTTCATACCTTCACGTGCCTGTAAGGAAGTATCAGCAAATCTAAGGCTTGCTAGCAGCAGTGACAGCGAGGAGGGAAACTGGCATCAGGGCCAGGCTGCAGTAAAAGCCAACGGGGACTACGTGTTTCAGGCTTGCACAAACACACATATGCTCTTTCCCACTACTGAGTTTACCCACTTGGGTAACACTTGGGGCCATGTTGGAATCAAGGGGGCAGCATACCTGTAACACCAGTACAGCTAAGAACAACTTAAGCCTGCCTGAGTCAGAGACTGGGGACAAGGAGAGGGCCATGTCCTGGGGACTTTAAAAATTTTTTTTTCCCAGGGCAGGTTTATGCCATAGTTAGGAGCAATAGAGGAAAGCTCACAAATTAGGAAGGCAGGAAGGCAGGAAGGAAGGAAGACAGTTGGGAAGAAGGGAGGGAGAGAAGAAGGAAGGGAGGGAGAGAAGAAGGAAGGAAGGAAGGAAGGAAGGAAGGAAGGAAGGAAGGAAGGAAGGAAGGAAGGAAGGAAGGAAGGA